ACTTCAATTATCTTTAGCAAGCTAACTTTATTAGCATCAGCTTGACGACTAAAATGCTTTAGCTACTGTTAGCCTACAATCGTTTTTACAGTGAAGCTACAGCAGTACTATTCATTATAGTACATTCAAGATGTACAGTCACTGTTTCAACAAGGTGTCAAATTCTAATGACTACATTTGACTGAACAAAAACAAGGGATTGCATTGAAAAGAATATGCTAACTTATAGGTAATAAGCTAACTTAAACTTACCTTGGGAATCATGGACTCAGGCTTGGTGCCATTTGTAGTTTGGCCTTTCCCATTCAGGAATCCTATAAAATTAGATAAAAGAAACGAATAATTTTAAAACAAAGAACAAAAGAGGGGGGAAACTTTAAGAGGTATGATTCCTTTTTGTCTTTGTGTCTTTTAGGAAGACGATTTGCAGCAGTTACATTGTCATGTCCATGTAGGACAAAATACTTGGGAATAAGATAAAACAAATATGTTGTTGTTGTTTTGTTGTTGTTGTTTCTTTGTCTAAAATCATATGTATGTTACCACATTACCCTTTTCTGCAGGTGGAGTGACAGAAATGCTGGTGGTGGACAAATGAGAGGAGGGAGATGAATCTGAAGTCTGAGGTTTTCCAGCTCCATTAGCCAAGGGTTGAGAGGGCTGTGAGGGAGCAGCAGGTCTGTGGGTGGAAGAATAAATAAACAGAAATTAATTTGTTTATCTGCTCCTAGAAGTAGTCTCCTTTCTGCAGGTTTGATTCATGAGAGTGGGAGGAAACGTCATCCGGGGGAAAGAAGCTGAGCACTGAGCATATGTCGCTCCACGGAGGACTCGAATCAGTGTTGACACCATTTGGGCTCGCATGCATGTGGCGGAAGAAAACAGGCCGAAAGCTACGACCACAAAATATGGCCGAGACATTTGGAGGAGCAGCAGGTTCAGGCTTCCTGCAGGAGGGGAAGGTCGGGAGGATGGAGGAGAGACAGGATCAAAGGATGGATGGATGGACAGGACATCAGGGGAGGAAAGAGATGGTGGTGTGTTGTGAGGCCACACACAAGCAGAGCAGGAACTGAGCCAGCAAGGGGAAGGATAAACAACAAACATATCTAAGTCTTACTTGGAGACGGGTTTGAGCTTCGACCTCCAGTCTGAAGGCGAGTCACTGTTTTCTGATGCTAATGAGAAAAAGGAAAACACAATCTTTAGTGTTTTTCATTTCCTGGTTCATTTCCTTCAGAGTCATATCCATTATGCAATGTCCTTTCCTATCTTTTATTGTTTTGGATGGATTTTCCACAAAAAGCAGGTTGTATTCAGGGTAAAAGGAAAGTAAAAGGTCCACATGAACTTAAAGCAAATTGTACCCTAAAACATAGTTTCACAAAAAGGAGCTCCTTTACGAAAGAAGGCTTAATTTAGGTCTCATTGAAACTCAATGCAATACAAATGAACATTTTCTGAAGAAGAAGCCATTAAAAATGATAATGGTTGATCAATGTTAGATTGAACCTTAATTCAAGGTCCACCTTGAGTGCATTTAGTTAACATACTATATTCAAAAATAGTATTTACGGACATAAACATAAGCTAGTCAGTCTCATTTCCTAGTAAAACATACTTTTCAGGGTTTTATTTATTAAAACAAACAAATTAGATTGATAACAAATAATCAGTTTCATGTCCTTGTTTAGGTCATATTTAGTATTTACTCAAGTACTGAACAAAAAAATAAAAATGTCGCTGCCCAGGTACTCATAGATTACATTATATATGAATAAATAAATCAGATATATTCACACAGGTTTGAACTGCTGTTAATCTTTGTTTGTTGTGTGTGTGTTCTCAGGGAGGATGATGAGGATGAAGAGCTCGACAAGATGATGATGACTTTCAGTGAGTGCTCTGTTCATTAGTTACCACAACCTCCATGTCACCGCAGCTTAGGTTGCTTATGAATTATCCAATTGAGGATTTCCATCACTTGTAATTGAAGTAGATAGAATTCTCTATGTGTGTGTGTGTGTGTGTGTGTGTGTGTGTGTGTGTGTGTGTGTGTGTGTGTGTGTGTGGTGTGTGTGTGTGTGTGTGTGTGTGTGTGTGTGTGTGTGTGTGTGTGTGTGTGTGTGGTGTGTGTGTGTGTGTGTGTGTGTGTGTGTGGTGTGTGTGTGTGTGTGTGTGTGTGTGTGTGTGTGTGTGTGTGTGTGTGTGTGTGTGTGTGTGTGTGTGTGTGTGTGTGTGTGTGTGTTACCAGAGGGTGATGCATTGCGGGGTTTTGAGGCAGGTCTCTCTGGGGTTCTGACGGGGCTCGGGTCTTTGGGGATCTGCAGGTCAGCGAGGATGGAGGGGTCGGCCTTCAGCCTCCGTCTCCCTCTCACAGGCTCCGGATCTTTCTTAGGAGTTTCCACCTGAGGAGGCCTGAGGAGAGGTGAAGAGCAATTAAAGGAAATTATATTTGTCACCAGTAGAGGTCAGGGTAAAGCAAGACAATATAAAGACTAGTCATAATTATTTTTGGTCAATATTGAGATCACTACTTTTTAACTTCACAATTTCACTTCAAAAACAAATGTAAAATAAAAATAAAAATATTGGAAATGAAAAACATTCTAAAATAAAAGTTCACCAATAAAGCATAACAAAAAAAACATTTTAAAGTGTGACATTTTAAAAACAATCATTAGATATATACATTTTTGGATGTATTATTATATTTAAAGTTCATGAAAAAGAAGGCTATGCTTCGTGTTGCTCCTTTAGTGAACTTCCACAACATGCTGAGAACTACTTAATGAGAACTACATAAATATTCAATATATAACAAAACATTTATTATTGTCATTTTTCTATATTCAACATATTCCAGTCAGTAACTCAGGGAAAACAGGTTGCTAAACGAAGTGTGTCACTATAATCTTGTTGTCGCATTTTGATTATCTTGTTTTCATTATCATCATAATTGAAAATAAATGTGTGTGTGTGGTTACATTACTTACTTGTCAGTTTTCTTCAGCGCTACATTGGTCCATGCTGGCTTACTGTTGTTGTTGTTGTTTTCCTCTGTTAGTTTTTTGGAGATGATGGCTGCTGCTGCTGCTGCTGCTGCTTTAGTCTTTGAATCTTCTCCTCCACTAACTGCTTTAGATTTCTCCTCTGTATCCCAGCTCACATTCGCCTTTTTACCCAAACCTCCAACATTCACCACCACGGTGACTGCCTGCGCTGCCGAGGCCTTCTCCTGCACCGTATCGCTCGCATTCGGCCCTTTGTTGATGACGATGCTGGTGGTTACAGTCTTTTTCTCTTCTTCTTTAGGAGGGCTATCTGATTTGAAGAAGTTGAGCTTGGACTTCAGCGTCTTTGCCGCCGTTGTGGATTTTCGAGGAGCAGCAACGGGCCTTGTGTTATCTGATGTTGTTGTGGTAATAGACGGTGTCGTGTTGCTAGACGGTGTTGTTGTGTTGATTGAGGTGGTTGTTTTGTTGCTAAACTGTGTCTTTGTGCTACTAGATGTTGATGTGTTGTTGCTAGACGGTGTCGTGTTAATAGACACTGTCGTTTCGTTGCTAGACGGTGTCGTTGAGAATATAGACGTTGTGGTTTTGTTCTTAGATGGTGTTTTTGCAAACATAGACGTGGTTGTTTTGTCGCTGGACGGTGTCTTTGTGTTGATAGACGTTGTCGTTTTGTCCGTAGGCGGTGTCGTTGTGAATATAGACGTGGTCGTTTTGTTGCTAGACGGTGTCGTGTTAATAGACACTGTCGTTTCGTTGCTAGACGGTGTCGTTGTGAATATAGACGTTGTCGTTTTGTTCTTAAATGGTGTTTTTGCAAATAAAGACGGGGTTGTTTTGTCCGTGGACGGTGTCTTTGTGTTGATAGACGTTGTCGTTTTGTCCGTAGGCGGTGTCGTTGTGAATATAGACGTTGTCGTTTTGTCCGTAGACGGTGTCTTGGTGTTGATAGACGTTGTCGTTTTGTCCGTAGACGGTGTCATTGTAACTGTAGACGTGGTAAATGTATTGCTAGACGGTGTCTTTGTGTTGATAGACGTTGTAGTTTTGTTCTCCGATGGTGTTGTTGTAAATATAGACGTGGTCGTTTTGCTGCTAGACGGTGTCTTTGTGTCTTTGTTCGTGGTCGTTGTGGCGAAGGTGGACACATTTGTAGTCCGTGAGGCCGCAGGTTTGGAGACAACAGGTGTCGGGGTCTCTTTAGCAGCAGAAGAGAGATTCAAAGCAGGCCGGGAAGGAGACGAAGAAGAGAAAGTGGTGGAGATGCTGGGAGGGGGGCTGGGTTTCTCCGTCAGCCACGATGGTCCCAATCTGGAGGGAGTATTAGTCGGAGGAGTTGGATTAGTTGTATGAGTTCGGTAGGTTGGAGCAGTTGAAGGAGTCTTATGAGTTTGGTAAGTTGGAGGAGTTGGATCAGCTGGAGTAGTTGTATGAGTTCGGTAAGATGGAGGAGTTGCAGGAGTTTGAGTTGGATTTGTTGTATGAGTTCGGTAAGATGGAGGAGTTGCAGGAGTTTGAGTTGGATTTGTTTTATGAGATCGGTAAGATGGAGGAGTTGAAGGAGTTGGAGGTGTTGCACTGGTTTGAGTTGGAGGACTTGAAGGAGTTTTGTGAGCTCGGTAAGATGGAGGACTTGAAGGAGTTTTGTGAGCTCGGTAAGATGGAGGAGTTGAAGGAGTTGTGTGAGCTCGGTAAGATGGAGGACTTGAAGGAGTTGTGTGAGCTCGGTAAGATGGAGGACTTGAAGGAGTTTGATGATTTGGAGGCGTTGGTTTGGTTTGGGCTGGTTCTAATAAAGCCGTGAATCTGGAAACAGGAGTGTTTGTGGGTAAACCTCTGAAAGGTGCAGTGGGGTTTGAAGGCGACATTGCCCTGAAACACAGAAAAAACATTGCATGTAATTTCTGGCCAATCAGAGTCCTTGTTGGTGCCATTTAGGGCTGCCCCTTCTTATTAGAGTAACTGGTGACAGACACATTTTTGTAATGCTTTATTCATGATTAATTACTTATTTCCAAGAAACCTAAACATCTCTGTTAAAAATAATATTCAAGTGATGCTTTTGATTGAATCTTTGTTGAGAAACTCCGTATTACAGATTGACAAAATCACATAAGTGTAAATAAGACTTGAATTAACATGGGTCCTTACTTTGCACAGTGCCTGTGATAGAGCTTCCCGTCCACTAGGTGTCGCTGCACCAGGTGAACATGCTGGTTGCAGGACGCACACTTGTTGCTTAAGGTGCTTGTCTGATGAGGTTTCTCCACCACAACATCCTGGAAGAAGGAGACAGAGGTTTCAAGAGGTGATGTTGTAACTTATCTGAGGCAATACGTTTTGTTTAGCTTTGCAGCAGCAGTTTCGTAGAGCTGCTCAAATGTGTATTTTGGGCCGTCTTGCATTAGTCTTACAACATGTGTACACTTTCTTGACACTCTTAGTAACGCTTGTCTACAATATTCAGGCAGCAGATGTTACCTTTGTGGTATTTCTGGTCTGTCTCGGGGAGGACGAGGGCCGTGTGACGTTGGCGGAGGGTGGAGGGCTGTTCTCTCTGGCCGGTTTGGAAGATGGAAACACCTTCGCCACCACCGGCTGGTTCTTCTTCCCTGATGGTTCGCCTGAGGGGCCGCCTGAGGGGCCGTCAGCCGGGCGCTTTATACCGGCCAAACCCCCGACTGCAGCAGGAACACAGAATAACAGAGACACACAGTTTGTACAAGTGTGCAATCACTTACTGGAGAACCACTTTGGAATAGTTGGAATGCTATGCCATTTTATTCATTAATGTATTATCATTTAGTATCTTATGTTTTCTTTTCCCGTTACATTGTCATTCTGTAATTGTCCTGAAAGAGGACAGAGGAGGCAGAAGGGATATTGGGATGAACCCCCGGAGTCCGGTGAGTCAGCAAGAAGGGAGCAAAGTTCATTCCTTAGACCCTGTATATTTCAAACTTTAATTTGGAGCAATTTTCCGAGCATTTATACGCTTCTAAAAATACAATTACTGCATAGGCTGCCCTCATATTTCCTCACTTGCCTATCCTCTGGATGCCTCCCCTCTCCTCACTTCCTCTGCAGGCATTTAATGAATTGGATATCAGGACCCACTTTCAAGTAAAGGGAATGAGGAAAGAGGACAGAGGAGTCGAGGAGGGATATTGGGCTGAACCCCTGGGGTCGGATGAGACAGAAAGACAAGAACAAATGGAACAAAGGCGGCGTCGGCCACACAGAGAAACTGATACTCACTGGGGGAGCGTCCATGGAAGAAGTTGTAGTACTGCGACACGTATGTGAGGATACTGAGGCGGTCAGGAACTTTAAGGGCCACCATGTCGTCTGCATCCAACAGCGCTGGAATTCCCAACTCCTCCGCGACCCTGAACGCCTGCAAATATCATCGACTTTATCCAACAAGAGGAAGCTCAGGGTGGATTTTAAGTATCTTGAGCGAGCGGCCAAAATGGAAATGGACTAATAAATCACATAAGAAGCAGATATCCTCTTGAGACTTCCTGTATCTAAACACACTTACTATCAGATATTCAAAGCATGTTTGTATTGTGAGTTCATGTTTGGGACTGTCAGTTTTCTAGATAATTTTCTCTTTCAGCTTTATTTGACCAGTCTTCTATAAGATCTTATTATTGGAAGATGTTGTCCAAAATCTGTGTGTTTTTACGCTAAAGAAAGCAAGAGTGCCAATATATGTTTGCCTATGTTTAATATGTTTTTTAAATATATTATTTTTACTGATTTGAGTGCCTGTCATTAGATGTTAGATGTGCATCCTGGATTTGGACGTGTATGATGAAGAAAGATAAAACATATTACTTATTATTAATCACAAAGTATATTCTTATGCCAACGGTTGCTTAAAATTGCAACAACATAAGAATTAAGAATGTGTTTTATTTCTTTGAGATTACATCTACATCTGCAAGTGCTAACAGAGAAAGCGAGTCAGGAATGTTTCCAAGCTAGATCCACATTCATTGATTCCATGGAAGCAGAAATAAACAACAAGTAGAGGCAAGTCGACGTGCAGCAGAGGCACGACTTAATCAGACGATCCAGAGAGCCACTGTTTACTCTGCAAAAGTCTTACAGCTCATTGTTGTTTTGATCTAAACAGTTTTTTCAGCTACAATCCTGACTTGTGACAAATAATGGCTGCTCATTTAGGCTTTATTCCATCTCACTTTGAAGAGCAGCCGCAGAGTTCAGAGTCCAGTAATAAATCTACAGGGAGAAACTGAAAGTAAGAATGCAATGAAGCCGCCAACGTCTAAGAGCACAGAATGAAACACTCTATATTTGGCCATGGATGCTCCTCGGATATGTTTGAACACTGACTGTTTTTGAAAGTTCCCTGTTACCTCAATGGTGCTCATGCAATATCAGAGTGAACAAGCAGGGCCAAATGTTGCAAGTAACAATTAGAGAGTGCTTTGTGATGGGATCACACCAGCCAAATCAAGACAGGGGTCGTAAAGTGTGTGTGTGTGGGGGGGGGGGGGGGTCTCGGGGCAATGGCACATTCCCTAATTCCAGCCTTTGGGACTCAACATACATTTTTATCTGGACTAAATATCTGTTTTCTGAATGCATCTTGTCGGATTGTGACGCCATTGAGATGAAACATTCTGACGTGCAGACTGACTCACAATCTGAAAGCAATAGCAGCAGGTAAGTCGTTTTTATAATAAATAGATTATAAAATAGCCTTTGAGGTTGATTTATTCTATCGTTAAGTCTATTAACCTGTATACATGCATTCAACAATTGTGTGCATATTTTCAAAGCCAAAGTATATCAAATCCGAAATCAATGTTTACGAGTTTGCAGTATTCGTCATTGCTTTTGTGGCACATTGCAGTATATCCATGCATGTTACCACCACATGATGATGTGAAATTGTTGGGAGGACTGTGTGTCGTCGCACTCAAGATAAACATCACCCCCACCTACTCGTAAACAAACAGCTCCATATCGCTAAAAGTGGATGAAAAGTCAACAGGGAACCTTAAAGTCGGAATGAAAACATCTAAAAATCATATTTAGGTGTTTCTTTTACATACTTTGTCTATCTGCATCTGCAAAGTTCTCCTGAATACATCAAACGTTTGTATTAGAAAGCCTCATTGGCATATTTAAACCTAATATTAGAGAAAACAGGTAATAAAAAGGATTATAACAGGGCCCCTTTAAAATGTAAATGTTTACCCTATCCACCTGCTGGGTTTCTCCTTACGAAATACATTGAAAGGTCAAAATGCAGAGTGTAAACATGTCTCACCAGTTTGTTGTTTTCATAAACATCCTCCTTATTCAGTGAATCAAAGTTTCTGCAACAGAAGAAGAAGGATAATATGTTACAAACACATGATTCGCTTCCTCATGTATTTGTTTACCATCAGTGTAGACATAAACATGTGTAATATAGGCATACACACCCCTCAGATAAACATATATATATATATATAACACTGACAGGGTGACTGATGACTTCTTTACACACGGCTGCGGTGACACATGATCTCATGTCAGTGTGTCATGCAGCTGAAACGTACATGAAGATCAGCCAGCAATCATAAAGGAGCGTGTCTAAATGCAGTAAACCGAAGCAAAGCCTTAAACCATGTAAACATGAAGTGTACCACGCTCATCTGGCTGTGAGGAAAACGTGGAGTGGAACAGCTGTGTGTCTTCTTCAAATGAAACGACTGTGTGTCCGTCCTAATGGCTCCTCTGGAACAAAACCAGGCAACTCCGTGTGAAACCGGACAAAGATTTACTCGAGTTGATAGGTCAAATGTTTGGAATATTTCAGCCAAAGCCTAATGTGGACATCTCTGGAAACATCTGTACAGCTGTCAAGTAATAAATAGTAACCAATAGTCCCCGGGGGAGGAATCCCTGTTTCAGAAGGTCCAGGGAAAACCCAGAGGAAATGTCAAACACTAAATGCCAAAGCTTCAAACTGAAAGGATGTTTAACACACAGACAATGTTATGAGATACCATACAACTTTTATTTTCAGTTTTGAGTGCACATGCAAAACAGAAACTATGAGTCGATGAACTTATTTGTCAATAGAAGGAACATCACATTCCCTGAACATTTAAAACACATGTGAAGCAAGAAATGCCAAACATACACCACTTCCTGCTTCTATTGTTGTATAATGAATATCTTTGGGTTTCACACTTGACTTAAACACATCAAGTGCTCTGGAAACTTGTGAAGGACGTTTTACCCTATTCTGACATTTCTTTTAACAAAGCTTAACAAAATAATAATCATCTTAATGAATCAACAGCAGCTATCAACCCTTAACTGAATGACACTTTATGAACAGCAGATGTGTGTGCTACTTTGATTCAAGAACAGCGGTGAGGTGTGTGCTACTTTGATTCAAGTATCAAACACATACAAAGATAGGTCAGGTCTGAATCAATATTCCTGTCAAGGCTGTGAATGCTGATTATTAAAAGTGTGTTTTTAATGTTGCATGTTCTTTCAGGCCTATAGCATTCAAGATATGTTATTGAAGCGAATAAGTATTTATGCTTGATTGACACAGATCAGACCACAACAATTAAGACACATGTCTTTCACAATAAGCACATTTCAGTGTTGAGTATTCAGAAGAGATCAGCCTGTACGGATTTCATTCTCACGACTTGTTGTTGTTTGAGTCTGACTGCATTCTTTATTATAAATACTAAGGAACAGGAAGAACCAGGATGAATTCAATGTTTGATCGCCTTTGTCAGGTAAGCTGTGAGGTCAAAATGAAATATCCTGTCCTGATGTTAAAACATGCAGACTTTACTCCCACTCTATGTGTCCCAGCTGATCTCCACAGCCCTCAGCTGAGCTCCTGCTCCTGTTTTCCCTACAGACCAATAAAGTGTGTTCCCTTTCATTAAAGAACTGCACAAACCTACAATAAAGCTGGAAAGTAAAACCAACGTCCCCCTTGTTCTCTAAACAGTTGTCAAACACCCTTCATTCAAACAGCACTAACCTGCTTGTTAAGGTGTGTTTTAGAAGAACTTCACCCATTAGTTTCCCTCTTTGTTACTCACATGAGATCGGGTCTGTGTTTGTGTATCAGGGCACAGAAAGCCATGCCGCTCCTGAAGGAGGTGGTCATGTTGGTGATGGTCACATCCCGGTATCCGTCGCACCGGACCCGGCACCACTGCTGCAGAGCCTTCACGGCCGACATCCCGGAGCTCAGAGGCGGACTGATCCGAGTTCGAGTGCAGCAGAGCGGCTGTAGATCTCCCGGAGCTCCCCCACTCGATCCTCCCTCCTTCCCTTCAACAACACACTGCTAAAAAGTTTCCACAGCAGCTTGGACACGCTGGATCCAGGAAATGACAGACGGAGAGCCAGGACTCTGTGTGAGTGTGTGTGTCAAAGTGTGAGTGTGTGGGAATCACCCTTTTGCGTCAGAGGAGAAACTGGATGTGACACCTGCGAAAGGTCGACAGTTACGCGGCATATGGGTGCAGTTCAGTCCGCTTTGTGTGTCTTCTTGTAACCCTCTGTGTGTGTGTGTGTTCATGCAGACTAATCACAGAGCCATAGATAAGACTTTGGAGAGAACATGAGTCCAATTTACTCAGAACATTTTAATTATTTCCACTAAAAAAAGTCTGTTCTTTTTATAAAACTTTTAAAAACGTTAACGTTAAATATTACTGTTTGGTTCATTTCATCTTTATACACAATGTTATAAACGCTGCTTCTGTTGGAAACTTTTTTTTTTTTATTATTACAATTTTTCTTTTTTTGTCCCTCTGGCACATTTAACTTGTGAATGGTGAACCACAAAGAATACCACAGCCTTTAAAGGAAAGAATACAAACCCACCCACCCACATGTAATTTGAGAGCAATTAAGTATGTATAGCTCCTTGAAAAAAGAAACCTCTCAGAAGCTAAACTAAGGTCTATATTTCCTCCAGTGTCCTGCTAAATAACCTCCAGAACAATAAGTTACCATGACATATGCTTACACTGTATTAAAGGGAACATGTCATAATGCATTTAATGATTTTAACAAGGAGCTATTTTGGTAAAAGTAGGAAGGTAAGTGAAACCAGTTAACCAGGTGTGGTTGTTTCTTGAGTGAGTCGTCCTGTCCTGTCCTGTCTGCGTTTCAGTCACCTGACACCTGCTCACGCTTTGTTCACAAACAGCAGCCGACAGCACCGTTTTCTTTTTGCTGAGTCAGTTTCAGATATTCTTTCTGTGCTTTGCTTCACTGTCGTCAAAGTGTGTTTCTTGTCATGTTTAATTCATGTTTGTTAAAGGAGTGATCTGCGGATTTGAGATCAATTACGTAGAAGGTTTAAAGGTCAAGGTATATGAACAAGTGAGTTTCAGGTGCTGATAGCACCACCATGTGTCATCACAACACAAACACACCTGTCATATAAACATGAACAATGACGATACTTAATTCAGCTGACACTTGTATCCATAGCAATAAGTGCAATAAATCATGAGGATGTATTTCATAAGAGCCACCATTTTTCCACAATGTTGAACAGTTGTTGTATCATTCTTTTAAATGTTCTCTACATTTACATTATAGAAGTTGAGTGTTACACAGTGATGCCACTATATTCAGGAAGTAAACAAAGGAGTTCAATGGAGGTGTTTCAGGCAGAGTGTGTTGGAGAGAGACTTCCTCTGGAGGAAACACAGGGATTTTAGCCTCTGCAGACCATTTACATGCACTAAAACCTACTCAACACACTACAGGAAACCCCCCGAAACATAAAAGGGCCTCTTTAAATTCTACAGAGGGCCGTGTTTTAGCGGCTTTGAGCTTTTTTCTTAATTGTGGCTCACTCTCTGTTCTTGTGAACTCTGCATCGAGCTGAAGAAGTGTTCAGGCTGAAATGGATGTGCCAATTTAACAGTGACCATCACATCTTAGTCCACATGTTAATGAATCATCATCTTCCTCTCAGGGGTCAAACGCTTTCATTCTATATTTATACTAAAATCAGATGATCATCATCCACACACTCAACGATGAGTTAAAGCTTCTGTCGGTTGAGCGGAGATTACTGTACTTTCAGACCAATGAGCAAACAATGATAAGAGCTTTAGTTTGCAAAGCACACACACACACACACACACACACACACACACACACACACACACACACACACACACACACACACACACACACACTGCTTTAGTTAAACGAAGGAGAAAATATGTGACTGGTTGTTTGATTTGTGCTTTCACGGAGCTGCAGTCGTCACCACGCCTTTAAAGAGGGTGCAGGTGTGGAGGCCAAGGAGTGTAACACGGACTGAACAAGTGACAGAACATCTGTTTTCCCATGTGCATCATTTTGACTTGTACAGTATGTTTCCATGTCCATACAGTATGTATCCGATCAATAACTAAAGAAATAACTCTTCAAAAAACTGGTTTTCCTAAGAATATAAGGAGCACACACCCGAGGCCCTTTTGGGGTCTTCCAACTCCTGTAGTGTGTTATATACTATAGGTTTGTGTGCATGTAAATGGTCTGCAAAGGCTAACATCACTAAGTTCCCTCCTGAGAGAAGCAGAGCCGGCCAGCTAACCAATTAGAGCAGACTGGACTCTGGTTTCAGACAGAGGGTGAAAATAGGTGCTGCAGCACAGGCAGTATGAGAACAATAAAGAGCTTTTTGAACATTAGAGCATGGAGACATGTAGAGACACTACATACTGATATGAACCTGAAATGAGCATCCGTCCTCTTTAAAGCTGGTTTGTGTTGTTGAACTGTTTTTCCAATCCATTCCATTTTATTTATATAGCACATTTAAAAACAACAGAGTTGAACAAAGTGCTGTACATCAACAACTGTATAAAAACATAGCAAAACATACATAAAAAACAGACAGGACATGAAACAAATGTAATACACGAGACAATGAAACCAGATCAGAAGCCACCGACTGAAAAACTCTCCTATATGACGTAAAAACAATACAAAACACTAGTAAGTAAATAAAAAACACATTTAACAGCACAAGTGTCACCTGGTCTGTACAGTAAAAGCCAAGGAAAATAAGTGGGTTTTTAAGCGAGATTTAAAAACAGGCAGAGTTGGAGCAAGTCTAACCTGGAGGGGTAATTCGTTCCATAACTTTGGAGCTGCAACAGCAAAGACTCTGTCTCCCCGCTGCTTTAGCCTCGATTTTGGGACTTCCAGAAGGAGTCTGTCAGCAGACCTCAGTGACCGTGTGGGTGTGTATGGTTTTAAAAGATCTGCCAGGTACGGTGGGGCTAAACCGTTCAGGGCCTTGTATGCGAACAGCAACATTTTAAACTGTATTCTAAAATAGCCAGTGTAAAGAGGCGAGTACAGGCGTAATATGTTCACGCCTGCCTGTCCTTGTAAGGAGGCGTGCAGCAGCATTCTGGACCAGCTGTAGGCGTGACAGGGAAGCCTTGGTCACTCCAATATAAAGAGCATTGCAGTAATCCAGTTTAGTGGATATCAAATAATGTATTACTTTCTCAAAGTCATTAAAAGAAAGGAAAGGCTTGATCTTTGCTAAAAGTCTTAGCTGAAAGAAGCTGGATTTGACCACAGAGTTAATCTGTTTGTCTAGTTTAAAATCACGATCAATCCGTACTCCCAGGTTTGTGACAATGGGTTTCACATATGGGACAAGAGAATCCAGCACAGGCGGGGCATTGGGACCACCACTGGGTCCAAATATTATTACCTCTGTCTTTTTTTCATTGAATTTTAAAAAGTTCAAGGCCATCCAGGCTCTGATGTCCTGCAGAGAGTCAGACAGGTGTTGCTGAGGGTTTGGGTCATTTATTTTCAGGGGCATGTAGATTTGCGAGTCATCTGCATAAAAATGAAACACCATATTTCTTAATGATAGCGCCCAGGGGGAGCAGGTACAGGGAAAATAAAATCGGCCCAAGAATGGAGCCTTGGGGTACCCCGTATGTGAGAGGAGCAGAGGAGGAAGTAAATTCATTAAGATTTACATTAAAACAGGTCATTAAAAACTTTTAAAAGAGCAGATTCAGTGCTGTGGAGGGGTTTAAACCCAGACTGGAATACCTCGAGAATGCCATGCACATTTAAGAAGGACTGCAACTGCTTCAGGACCACTTTTTCTAACATTTTGGACATAAAAGGAAGTCTAGAGATAGGTCGAAAATTGTCAATTGTTTTTGAAACAAACCCCATTTAAACGAGAGTAACAATCAGACAATGAAGCTGCTTTTAGCTTTTTTATGACCCCTAAGACTCTGTTGCACAATAACCATCTGTTAAAAATAAGTACAATCAAATGTCATGCCAGAACAATGCGTACCAAAAATGCATTATACAGCATTTCATGAAGCTTTTAACAGGAAATGAGCTGCATAAATACGGGACAACACGCAACTTTAGCATGCCCGGAAACACACAATGTGCCAACAATTGTTTTTTCTCCAAAGAATTTCCAACCCTGACTCTTAATCACTATTTCCTTCTAAATGTGATCCATTCCTCCCACACAGGCATCAGGAGCATGTTCAGTCTAATGCACTGAATCCCCTCAAAGTCCCGTGAAGTCCCTCTTCCCCTCTGCATGCCGACCATACAAACACCCCCCACACACAAATACTTAATCCTCCCAAATCCAGACAGGAAATGCCCCCGTCAGTAGAGCAGAATGCTTTTGACAGACCCCCGCTGCTCTTTCTCTCCTCCCTCCCCCTCCGCTTGATGATATAGTGCCTCCACAAACCTCCATCTGGAAACAGTTAGCCTGTGAACGTTTGCACAGAGCCAACTAAAACATCACGTCTTTCGCAGGTCTATCAGCACTGCAGGATAATTCACTCACTATCAGAGGGCGTGTTCGTGTGCGTGCGTGCGTGGGTGCGCGTGCGTGCGTGTGTGTGTGTGTGGGGGGGGGACAATCAAATGCTTGTTTGGTGTTATGACTCATGAGAAATGGCACTTTCTCTCAGAGTTCACAGCTTGTTCTCTGGTTAGTTTCTATGGAGAGCAGCACGTAACAAGACGCTTAGGCTGCGAACATGCATCGGTCACAACTGAAGTCACAACACTCTTCACACGGTCAGCTAAACAGACGTCTTTGTGGACTATGTTGTGAATAATTATTCCTTGCTTTCCCACAAAATGGATTTAGTTACCATATGTTTCCATCCTCTACCACCTGCAAAACACTTTATGTTTGCAGCGTATTTTTATAGAATGCTAACTAAATGTTTTCAAAACTGTTGAAAATAATGCAGATTTATGTAGTTACTATATTGAAATGTATGTCCAAAAATAAAATAAAGAACACAACCCTTCACACAGCCAGCTAAACAGAAGTCTATGAGGACTTCATTGTATATATTAGTATATTCAATGAGCCCATTTTACCACAAATCCATGAACTCTTTTCACATTCATCCTCCACTG